TCATGAGCGAGTTTTTATAGAGTTGGGAAAAAAATGAGAATTGTGGCTTATAACAAATTAAACATGATTTAAAAATTCGATTTGGCACAAAAGACAACGGTTGAACTTCTGTCCAGATTTGTTACTGGCTCAGTCGGAAGATGCGACAGAAGTCGTGTTGTCGAATTTAATTTTAGTTAAACGCCGAACTTCCTACGCATTCAATACCTGAATAAAATTTGGCACATGTGAAATGCCATGTTTACACTGGGCCTTACTATAACAAGTAACAGTCTTCGCTTCCTGTCGGTACTCATTACTGGGCTGCCTGTGCGGCCCAGTCATAAAATGAACTTTCGGCAACACTTTCGGTCGTCTGCGGCGAAAAACGGCCTCCCGGGGGAGAGAAGACACGAGGGTCTGGTACCGAGAAACGATGTTCTCACAAATGGTTTCATATGATTTTCTCTTGCACGAACCCTTGGATACTTTTTGTACCTTGTCTGCGCTCCCCCTGAAAAACCCACAAAGCGTTGCGAACCTGAAGAATGCTATTTGCGTTGTTCGAAGCGATTCGATCATGGGAGTCACTCTATAATTTTTTTATTGTTCGAGTTTAAGTCAGTTAGATGATGTTGGCGCTGGGAAACTCAGAGAAATGCTCGCGTTGCATTCAAACCGACACGCCGTTCACGGTAGGTTCACACTAAAAGATGACTGTGCGCGTCAGGTTTGGCACGCCGTGGCCGCTTCGTGAACTCAAAGAGAGAATTATCGATCGATGTATTACATGAGCAATTAAGAAGTACAGTTTATGAGCAAGGTATTTCACAAGTTGACGACGCTATGACTGAAGACTTGATTGAAAGCCTTCGTAGTCAGTGAAGCGAACAACTCAGTTGCCGATGAATGGCACTACGCACGTCCATGAGCGAGGGACGTGACAACTTTGCCATGTTAGAAGACTGGCTTTTCCTTTAATTAGGATGTTACTAAAACGAGGAACGGGGAGTGGGGAGCGGGGAACGGGGAACGGAAGTCTGGGAACGAGTTGTCAGCGGAAACCTCCACAAAAATCCAAAATGGCGGTCCAAAACACGGGAGAGAGAAAGAAGAAGACAAAGAAAGGAATTCGTGCCTTGGTTGAAATCAGGTGGGGACGAAATTGCAAATCAGACTCACATTTTACGTTTACGTTTTGAGCAGGTGGTATGTTTTTTCGATATTCAACCTGTTTCATTTACAATATGATAAGGACACTCACATTACTCCTGGATTACTCCGTTTACTTTAGACCGTCACTTAATCCTGCCTGTTTATCCCCCTGAATGTTCTTTTTCCCACTCAGACAAACTCTTGGAGAGTAAAGGTTTTATCCAAGCCCATTATATGCCCTGTTTTGAGAATGCTTGGTAAATAACTCGCAGGCATTGTAATGAGAAATAAACGTGGAATTTATTAACGCATGTACATATAGTGTTCTCGCGTTCTGTGCTTGAGTCAAACTTTGTACAGCTATTAGTATTTAAAACTAACGGCTAAAACTTGTTTTTTACAATTTTTTTTTATAACTGGGAAAGCTTGTTGTTGTTGTTAGTGTTATATTAAAGTCATTGAGTGATGAGTTATGAATCGTTTAAGGTCAGGGTTTGGCATTGAAAGCAGGGTTAAGCACTGACTTCAAGAAGGTGGTGGACAAAACACTGACCCCCATTCCATGAACTACCCCCAATGACTACCCTAAAATGGACTATGCCACTGAAGTTAAGTGATTAGGGTTAGAAAACTGAGTGAATCAGGTTACATTTAGGGTCCTTATACTGGGATAAGAGAGTCCAAGGCTAAGTTTTAAAATCAGCCAAAAGAAATGGGATATGCTAATTGCTTATCCAGATTACACCATGCTATTGCCTTAGATGAGGTTGTTTTAACAACATATCAAAGATCAAAGTAAAAGAAAATTTAACTCTTCAAGTCCCATGATCGACCGAAATCAATTTTCTCGAAACAATATCAATACATTATCCAGAGGAATGTTTATGACAAGTAATGAAATAATCAGCAAAGGGAAAATGCTTTAATCGTCAACCAAATTCTGTCATCTAAATCTGTAAGGAAATGTAAAGAGATAAGTGTGGACAATGTTATTTGTATGTGGATAATGAAGCTTAGAGGGTTAAGGTACGAGTAGGTATGACCAGGATCATTATGTCGAGTTAACCAAATGGGTTAGGTATAAACTAACAGGTCTGAAACAGTTTAAATTCGTAAGTGGCTGCCTAAATACTTTTATGATATTGTATAGTTCCCTTCATATACATTACTCTTTAGCAAAAGGGGGGCCAGTTCATTTCTTTATATCAAGCAATAACAGGTTGATAATAGAACCCAGTCCTATGCCAGCAAATTCTGATAGTCAAGAGATCTCTACCAAAATCCTTCACAACAAAAGAGTATCTTTAAAAAAATGATTAGAATTTGCTTTTACACCCATTTTATATTCAGAATGACATTTCAAATTGATTTTGATATTTGTATCTTTTGACCATAACTTAGGTTATAAGGGGAAAACTGAATAATTGCCTCAAACCCTTTCATCTCCATAGAGAGTGAACTGGCAAAAATTCCCTTCAGACCTTTTACTGTAAATCCTCTATTCAGCCTCCCTCTCCTTAGAGGACTACAACAAGACAACCATGAATGTACCACTTCCTTGGCACAAAAAGGTATTGGTACAAATCATGCTATATGTTGGCAGTAGTCAGTGCGGCATTTCTAGTATGTCTCTCACTCTCCTAGCCTTGTGCCATGTAATATTGGCCTAAGCATTCAGGAGGGGGTATGGTAGAGGACTGACAGTACAATTTGTTGTGTTTATATTAGAAAAAACATGCACTAAATGAGCTTTGGCGTTTCTAGTAAAGACCAAGAAAATGCCGGTTTAAAATTCGGCCACGTTATGGGTCAAGGAGTTGAAATTATAGAGGCAATTAAATAATTGAGTCGATGAGTCATGAGTAAAGTGAAAAACTTCAAATATCTCGGATTAACTGCTACTATCTGCTTTAAACAAATACTGGTACATACAGTAAATATAGTGACAAACCTGAATAAACTTCTTGAAGGGTGTGGTAGACAAAACACTGACCCACACTTCATGGACATACCCTAAAATGGACTACACCGCTGAAGTTTAGTGATTAGGGTTAGGAAACTGATTGAATGAAGTTTTAGATCAGTTTTCCCAGTATAAGGACCCTAAATGGAACCTGATTCACTCTGTTTCCTAACCCTAATCACTTAACTTCAGTGGCATAGTCCATTTCAGGGTAGTCATTGGGGGTAGTTTATGGAATGGGGGTGAGTGTTTTGTCCACCACCTTCTTGAAGTCAGTGCTTAACCCATTCGCTCCTGGAGATTTTGCCGAAAAACGCGTTTTGAAGCTAGCCGAGTGGTTTTCTGGTCACTGTCGTGCTATAAAGAGCTAAAACTTACGACAAACCGGTTTACAGGTCGTACACTTGGCGGCCTTCTGATCCAGATGCAAAATGTCAGCTTGCGAAGTTCGGGCATGCGCAGAAAGCAAGACACAGCAGTCTTGACTTTTACTTTTCGCTTTCTCTCCTCCCTTCTTTTTTCGCTTTTCTTGCTTCATTTTTTTTTCTCTTGCTGGGCATTTAGTAGGCTTCATTTTGGTGGGAAGAGTTTTTAGGAAAGCTTTTAGGATCTTAGGATTAGGTGAAAGGAAAGGTAGGTGGGTAATGGAACAAGATTTTCATGGAGATTTTCAGGTCCTTGTCACGTGGTTTTTTGCTTCTTTCTCCGGTGTCCTTGACTGAATTGTGCTCATTCTGGTATGGTTTGAAAGATCTCTTCATTCTGCACACGTGTGCGAAGAAAGTTGTCCTTGACCGTTAAAACTGATGACGTCACAAAGGGTAGAAAGGACCTGGATCCGCACGGGCGGTTACGGGCGGTTCAGGGGCGAATGGGTTAACTCTGCTTTCAATGCCAAACCCTGACCTTAAACGATTCATAACTCATCACTCAATGACTTTAATATAACACTAACAACAACAACAAGCTTTCCCAGTTATAAAAAAATTGTAAACTACAAGTTTTAGCCGTTATTTTTAAATACTAATGGCTGTACAAAGTTTGACTCAAGCACAGTACGCGAGAACACTATATGTACATGCATTAATAAATTCCGCGTTTATTTCTCATTACAATGCCTGCGAGTTATTTACCAAGCATTCTCAAAACAGAACTGCACTAAATTCTTACAAAGAACGTGAAAAACAACTAACCTCTATGTAGGCTTTGATCCATATTTTGGAGTAACCATTCTCATCTCAGCCTTTTCAGTCTTTGTATACTTAATCTTTCAACACAACAAGGTCGTAAAGAGTCGGAGCGGTTTGCCGAAAAATAATTTTATTCAGTTCCAGTCTCCGAGCGGATACCTGATTTTGGAGTATCCATTCTAGTCACGACCCTTT